ACGCAAAGTAGTTCTGGCGTCCTGAAGTCCTTGTTAGAGCCGCGTGTGCGCCGTCAAGCCAGCTCCGGCCAGGCGTAGTGCCGGGGGAGTCTCGGGACAGCCACATGCTGCTGAAAACAGTGTTTGGAAAAGCCAAACCATAAGTGAATTTTCTGCGTCCGTGTTCACCGTGAGGAGTTCTCGGGAGGCTTCTCTGAAGAATTCGACTTTGTAGGAAGGTGCATTAGAGAACCGGTGTCCTCTGATCTCTCTGGTGGCTCACGCTGCAGTGTGTGAAGTGAAAAAAATAACAGAGAAAGCCTACAAAATGGGGATTAGCAAACGGGCGCAGCCAGGCGGTATTTACCGAAGCATCGAAAATTACTTGAGGGCAATTGTACTATTAACTATAGTAAGCTCACCCTTACGTGAAAGGGCTTCGGTGCTCGAAGGCTGGAGCGTAGGAAATGTGATACCAGAGGGAAGTAAGAGAGAGAAAACCTGATGTGTTCCCCAGGAAAAACGGATAAAATTTATAATAAAATAATGGGATTAGTGAGTACAAGGAGATTTACAATGAGAGAGGAGGACCACATCTTTTTTAAAGGAAAATGATGCTGCACAGCTGTATTATGCAACTCGCACAGCTCAGAAGCAGAGGCATTGCTATGTGGTTGTATAAATTGGTGCTGCTTTGAAATCTTCCGTGTGCGATCCTCATTTCTTCATCTGAAAATAATGCAGCAGAAATGGAAAAACGGTAGAGATGCAAAACAAGGATACTGCATGATTTCCATATGAGAAGTGGCTATTTAGACAAAGACTTGTCAGCCTGGAAGAGGAATGGCGGAAGGCGGATGTGCTAGAGGTCTCTAAAATCATGAGCGTGTGGAGAAGGTGAATGCAGAGCGGTGCGTTCCCAACGAGAACCGAATGAAACTAGCAGATGGGGTCTTCTCGGAAGAGATGTTTCCTCATTGCGCCTCATCAGGCTGTGGAAGTGTGTTCAAAGTGCTGGCAAACCATGTGGTTTCTAGAAGCAAATGCAGCAAATTTGTGAAGTCCATCTTAGGACTATAAAAAATGCACAAAACCACCTTTACATCAGTAAAGCCCTGAATTGCAGATTGCTGGACTCTGAGAATGTATAGTGAACACTTTGGGTTTTTCTTTTCTTTCGTTCGTTCTTCAGTCGTCTCCCACTGGAGAGACAGTGCTGACCTAAAAAGGCTTTGGTGTGGTCCATTATGCCCATTCTTACTTTCATGGTCAAGTTCAAAACTTAAATCTTGACCCCTAGGAATCTACCAAGCAGATGGCTATACCAAGGCTATTTAAGATATCTTATTCTAGTATATAATATTTTAGCATTGATACAGTTTGTTTAATTTCCAGGGCATTAATATGACCCTAGATCTATGGCATGTGTTGAGCATAAGCTCTTGGGTGCTCCATCTTCTGAACCTGTGACAAACTTCCTCTCACCTATGTATTCAATATGTGAATAAAGTGACTGATCAATCTATGTATATATGTTTGTATGTATTTAATTATCCTTTGTGCTTCTGTGAGTATGTTACATAGCTCTTTACTAGGCAATAATGAAATATTTTTACTAAGGTTCCTAACCGTGACTCAAGGAAAAGGGAGTCTAGTCTTAATGCTCTATGAACACCATTGGTCTGAAGGCAATTCCAGAAGCAGAGGTTGGGGAGATTTAAATGTACGCTGTCAGACAGATTCAGTTCTCAATGCAGTTGGAGATAACCTTCTGTTCGGTGAGAGCTCTGTCGTGTGTGGGGATATAGGAATGATAACATCGAAGAGGCAGCATTTAATCTCTGAAACTCTGGCCCCACTGAAATTAATGGGAGTCTTGTCACTGAGTTAGTGCTTCCTTAGATTCAGAACCATTTCTAAATTAGTGATTATGGGTAGAATAAGTAGCTGTGAGCTTTCAGTTGGAGTTTGGAAATGCACATAATGAAACTGGGGTGTTCAGGAAATTAGCAAGCAGATCTAACTCTGTTAAGCATGTATAAATAACATTAGTTCAAAATTGGACACACCCACACATTCTCTTTTTATTCGTATGGGATAGGAAACTGTCTAATGTGAGACAGCTGAGATAGTGCCACCCTAAGAAAACGGTGGTACTATCTTCACTGTATCCATGCAAACTACATGTTTTTGTGAATAGTTTCCAGCTGTGTCAGTGGGATAATTCAACTCAATCCACATAACCAAAGCTGACAAACAACAGGATCCTACAGCCAGCAGTTTTAATAAAAGTAAAATCCGGAGAGAGG